CAAACAGAGCAGGCACTATCAGCGCAACGCGTCATTAATAAATTTTTCACTTTGTCGCATCAGCTCCACATATACACACACATGGACACACATAGCTACATACACATAGTTACACACACAGACGCGCGCACACACACACATGCACACACACACACACACACACACACACATATATATATATATATATATTAACACCACAACTCAATGTGCGGCATATATATATATATATATATATATATATATATATATATATATATATATCAATAGAATTCATATGAAAAGGTTTTTGTTTTTTATTTAACAAAATAAAATGTACATATTCTCTTTTGACTTCATAAAGGGTATTTCAAATTAACACTATATATATATATATATATGTGCGTGTATATATATATATATATATATATATATATATATATATATATATATATATATATATATATATATATATATATATATGTCTGTGTGTGTCTTTGCGCGTAGGCGGGTGCATGTGTATGACTAAATGAGCTGAAGTAGTTGGAGAAGATTTGTAAATGGGAAATCTGCGTGCATGTGGAGAAGAGATTTTCGAAGGGATTTTGTTAAAACGTTCTGATCAAAAACTCCGCCTCCTTTCGTTATTGCAACCGCCCACTTTTCTTGCGCAAGCACCGCCCATTATAAAAAGAATAAAGAATGATAAATAAAGAAATATAAAAAGAATAAAGAATGATAAATCTAGTGGAATTTTCAATTCCACTAGATTTATCTCAAAGTCCTCAGAATATTGAGTTCTTGGATTGGTGCGAAGGACGGTTCACAGAAAAAAAAAAAAAAAAAAAAGAATACCTTACGTTTTAGCGGGTATCCACTTGTGATGATTGGTGAGGTTGTAAGCTTCTGCCTGTTTCTGTCATAATGAGAAATCCGATGGAAGTTTCTCGAAGTGTAAAGAACAAAACTGAGAATATCCGAGCACTAGTAGAAAATACGAAAAACTAATCCAAGGCTGTAAGAAATCCCTAATTTGTTCGTTTTCAATTAACGAATTAACATCTATTCCAATAATTGAATACACATATCAAAATTTCAATTAGCAATATAATTAAAGTAAAATTTACAATAAATTAGTTTCAGATTGAATAGTTTATAACTGTATTCTGTTTTCTACCAAGACTTCTTTTGAAATAATCTCCCCTGTCTGTTCTTCAGAATATTTGATAACATCGATAGTAAAACGGCACCATGAAAAGAAAAACATACCAAAAATCAACTCCGAATTAAATTTCAATAAAATTTCAGAATTTACTTGGGAAAAAGTATGGAAAGAAAAAATGGGTATGTTTTTAAATTAATTAATTTAATATAATTTGAATAAAATATCATTTGAACATATTTATATTTCTACAGAAGTAAGTCCCCGGAGAAATTAAATTATTGGAAATTTTATTTGAAACTACAACCCTTTAAAAAAAAAATCAATCAGATGTAATTAATCGAGATTTTTTGCGAACAGTCAAAACATAAAAGACAGCACTATGTGAAAGTCAAATCAGAAAACATGAAATTTAGCAACCGGATTTGCTGTAATAGGGAAACATCTATTCTTCCATACTACGACAAACACAAATGAAGGAAAAACTTAACAAAACAATATTTGAAAAAAGATGAAAAAAATAATTTCAGGTTAATAAAATCACAAGCAAGTCCCTAAGACACAAGTGGTTACTGAGTGTAAAAGAATAAGAAAAAAAGAGAAACATTACGAAGCGAGAACTATAGAAGAGGAATCAAGAAGACAGTAGATAACGATTGATATTACATTTAAATTTTTAAGATTAAAAGTTAGCTGGAAAGCATGGAGACAGAAGAGAGTTCCCCAATCGAAAAGTGCTAGAAAAGAAACTGTTAGCAAAGAACTTACGGTGAAATGATAAGAAGTTCCCGCCAATCTAATATTACGCTTAAATTCCTAAAGTCTACTTTTCATCAGAACAATAACGATGAAAGTATTTATAGAAAAGGCACAGAGAAGTTACGGTGATGGGAAATTGACTGAATCAGAGATACAAGATCGGAAACAATAATATTGTGGATTCTTTGGATTTTATCAAGAATCAGTAAACGTAACAGGAACACCAGACTATATGCGGAAGCAATTTATTTCCTTTGTTATTATGGCGTAAATTTCTTTTAAAATCAAATTTGAATGTTTTTAAATTTTAAGTTCATTTTATTTATCACAAGTTTTAAAGTTCGATCAACAGTTTCCAAAAGGCGCTATATATATGATAGAAATTATTAGGAGGATTTGAGATAATTATAATTAAGTAATTAATCGAGTCTAGAAGAAACCTCAACAGAATGCAGAAAGCACTGGACGGCCGTTTCGTCCAATATTTGGGACTCATCATCAGTGCGCATCCATTACCGAGAATTGAAATCCGGACAGTTACGATATCAGGCAAACGTCATACCAACTTCACATGTTTCTGAGGAGAAGATTGTAGAGAGAATGTTGTAATATAACTAACATTTTCTCTTTTTTAAATTTCACTGAT